TGCTAGGAAGTAACAAAAAAAAATCCTTTTAGCATTGTGCATGACAGGAGCCAAACGTAATGTACACTGCTTGGCTGGGATTAGTTCACCATAATGAAAACCTTAGCAGCTAATGGTTGTTGTTTAAGCAGGAGAGGACAACAATGGAAGAGACCAAAATACACTTCTAGATACAAAACATGATGGTGTGGTTGGGGTAGAACTACAGCTGTCAAAAATGGCTATAAAATACAGGCCTATATCCTTGACTACTGACAAGATTAGCACAGTTTTATTTAACAGTGTGCAAGTACAGTTGCAGGGAATCTTTGTACTTCCCCAGTTTTGGGCCAGTTCCAGGCCAGGTTGATCTCTCAGCATAACTCACAGCAGCACCAGGGCTTTCTAGAGCCCCAAAAGGCTATTAAAGCAGCAAGGGATCACTGCATCATAGAAGAAGGATGATGAAGCCTCACCAGAAGTTTCTATAAACAAAGCATTCCCCTACACAACAGTTATCTTTACAGTGGCCTGGTAAGCATACTTCTGGCTGCTTATTTTGGCAGTGATTTCTTAAACAGTAGACAGAGTTTACAACAGTTGCATTTGTTAAAGACTGCAACAGTCAGCCATCATCACCAGCTGTAGATTCCTCATCCCACAGATCAGCCTAGGATGAAAAGCATGTATGTTCAAAAGGAATTAAACAATGTAATTGGTGAATGTGGTAAACTTCACTGAAGTAACTTCACTGATGCACATAAGACAGATTAAGAAGCCCCCTCAACTACCACTCCAACTGGCTGAGCTACCAGCACTAGTCCTGTCTTTGACTGGCACCATAAGATTGGTAGGAGAAATCCTATTATGGCCTAATTCACCTAACAGATGAACCCAAACATGCAATGACAAGCCAAGAACTGAGTTAGGTTATTCTCTGCCACAGGAACATATTTGGTACCGTATTTTCTGTTTTCCACACTGGTTCTCCACCCATGAAACACTCCTCGTTCCATTCCAACTCCGTAAAATAAATGCTTCCTTTTCGTATTGCAACTCAAAATTAGATCTTCCCTTGGGGAAGCAGATCACAGAACTAGAACAGTCTGGTGATGCATATGCATGTTACCTTAGGTTTAGCATTTGGTGCACAGGTGAATTGCTAATTTCAGCTATTCATGTTTATAATAATCATAAGTTAGATAGGTCCTGGCACAAAGCTGTTAAAATCACTAGATCATCTATTGCAGATATCCAATTCTGTCTGAGAACAAGGAAACAAGCACAGATACTATTATGAGGGTTTATCTGCAGCTAAGAACACATGAACTTACTGTTCACTATAGTAAGAGAAGAAACCACTAATGAAATCTCAAATTGAGAAGTACAACTAGAAAAGTATGTCATGGTGAGTGACTTAGGCAGCATGTGAAGCATAGCTAGCTTGAAACTCAATTAGCAGCTGCACTCTTGGCAGGTTTTACTAAATTCCTTCTTACAGAGGATGTATGGTGGAAAGTGTCAACTTTGGTAAGTATGAGAATCCTTGCAGTAACTGGTATCAAGCAGATGTGACCAGCTGCACACAAGATTCTTGCAGTCAAACTCAATTTAAATATGTTGCAAGCTGCTATTTTAACTTTATTTAAGCCCCAGCTCCTTGGGCTGTCAGCCACACATCTCTGCCTCAGACTCGGTGATTGTGTGAAGCAGTCCAGTAATTGATAAGGTTGCCAAGCAGGGCCCATAATGTTTTACTCATGACCTAATTAAGAAACAAATTCAAAACCTTCAGAGAAAAAGGCAAGAAGTTTCATTCCCATTAGCCACTTCCTTTCTCTCATGCACCTTTATGCACACTCATGCACACACTCTTTTATTGTACTGCCATCTTTGCACAAACGTTCAACCTTGAAGTAGCATTTAACAGAGCCAGGAGAATGGAGAAGGATGAACAGGTTTCAGGAATATTGCTTGTGTGTGTGTGCACGTGTGTGCGTGTCAGAGAGAATGCACAAGCACACAGAACCAATGCCACAGTACAGCAGCTATGAAGTTACACACATTACACACTTGGTTTTGTTTTTTTCTTTACAAAAGGGAAAAAAATAGTGTAACAGCATAAAGCCATCTTGGCAAGCTTAAGATTTTCCACCAAAATGCTTTCCAGCACTTCAGGATCTCTGAGGAAAGTTTAAAGAGGGTAAGGAAACAAAATTAAAAAAAAAAAAGGCACTTAAAAAAAGGACAAAGGCCTGAATCAAGTAAGTCATGAAAGGTAACAGCCATTTCACCAGAGCTTGGACCAATCAAAGTCTACCAACCTTTTTTAAAATTTCTATAAAATTAAAATTGCATAAAGTGTTAATTAATCAGTTGCTTACCTAATGCTTTAACCGTCTGGTTCATTTTATGAAAAAAACAAACAAAAACAAAACAAGTAACAAGCCCAAACAAAAAAACCAAGTGTCCCTTTAATGATTTTTCCCCCCAGTTCAGCAAAAGATGAAAGTTAGGTGTGGGAGGAAGCCTTCCACAGTTTGGCTTGGCTGTAGGTTTTTCCTGCAATGCCATCTTCAAAAAAATCCAGAACAAAAGCAGAAGAGGGACCACTGTGCTTTCACCAATTCACTCAAAAACAAACAAATAAAAAAATTAAAACAAAAAACCCATCAACCCAAACACCCGAATGATTCTAATCCAACTGTGGGCAAAAACTAATCAAAAGAAAACAACAAAAAAAAATATTGTAAACTAGATTAAAAATCTTCTAATAAATACAGCCAAAAGTTCATTTTACGAATGTAGCAGCAAATGTGATAAAGTTAGTTGGAGTCCAGCGTGACTCCCAGAGGGTTACTGGTTCGCACAACTGATGGCAGCTTGGGAGAGTTGCAGAGTTCTTTGTTTTCATGTCCTCAAGTGTCTTGCACCAAGTGGAGAAGGAGTGTGGAGGAAGGGTCAGGTGATGGGACTGCAGGAGGGAGCAGGCTTTTAGCACCTGCTCCACCCCTAAATCCGTGCATCAGACAACTTTGATCTTATTGAAACACAAAGCAGAACCCAAGTAATTAAAAGTTACTTCTGATTAGCAGAAAACAGATGTGAAACCCACAGCATCCGCACTTGTGACTCAGTTGATCAGCATTTAGACGTGTTTCTCAAATCAACAGAGAAGGCTGGACAAAGTGACTTAGGCCATTTGTGTCTTGGAATGGGAGAACACTGCAGTTATAGTCCAAGGTATCAGGAAACTCTGCAGCCTGCTTTTCATCTAGCCTGCCTTCTTTGCAAGAATCTCTAATGATTTAAAATAGCTACCATGGTTTTTGGGACTTTGGATCATGTAGCAGGGAATACTACCCAGACAGTTTCAACATCTAAAACCTATGTTTGAAGTTATTGCTTGCATTTGTTTGGGGCTTTCAGAGAGCTTGACATGTTAGCTCATATACAGTCCCCAAACCAAGTTCCAGCCCTGCTGCCTGGAAAAGACAGCTCTGCTTGGCTTTCTTATTGCTTGTGAATACTGAGGGTTTATTTAGTATGTACAACTACAGTTTATTTATTAACAAAGGCCCTTAAAAAGTAGTAAAAACCTGGGCAGGGGGTGAGGTGGAGAGGGAATGTCTTCAGAAGAGCTGCTGTGCAGAAAGTAGTAAAACATTAACCTAATTTTGCATTTGAACGTTGCAGTAATCTTCCCCATCCTGTCTATGCTACCTGCAAAGGTCTCTAGGAACCACCTTTTTATTTCCTTTGATTTGGCCTTGCTAGGCTTAATCAGGGAGAATAGAAAACAGCAAGTAAAGGATCCCCCACCCCCAATGTGGTTCATTCAGATTCACTCAGGAGAGTAATAACTAACAGGAGTGTGATGACTGAAACCAGTTACCTGCTTGGGGGGGTGGGTTGTTTGAACTGATTCACAAACAATGGATGGTCTTTATTTTCATCATCCTAGTATCTATTTCCACAATAAGTATTAGTTTACTTGTTTCCCAAGACTGAGAAGCTCAATAGGACACAGAGGCAGGACTATTCCTACCCTCAAGATTTAGAGAGAATACTCTTCAACTGAAGATGAAGCATACTTCCAGGAAGAAAGGAATATTGAAAGGGATTTTGTGCTGTAGTTATAAAGGACTCCAAGTCTCCCAGTCTAAAATTTCAGTAAGTATGAAGACAAAAAGATGACAATTTGAATGGGATGCCTTGATGAGGAAAACACAGAAGAGGTAGAACTCTCTTAGGACAGGGTCCTTTAAATATATTGCTGCCCAATGGCTCACTGCTGCAACTCCCTTAGCTACTTGCATCATTAAAAGTTCTCAGGTTTGACACAGTTCAGAGAATTAACATCCTGCCAGAACTGTTAGACCTCAAAAAACAGAAGTTGGCTTCCTTCAACCCTTCCTGAAAAAAAGAAAAAAATATCAGATGAAGCTTGCACTCTAAATAGTTTATGGTATTTTGACAGAATTTGTGCAGTATTAATGCCAGGTTCTCCATAGCTGTATGTGTTTCAACTCTAAACCAGGATGGAGATGCAAGCTTATCTGATCAACACACCATATACAAAACATTAGCGCCAGCTAAAAAGCATTTAATTGGCAGATACTGTGGAGTGAAACTTATGAACTAATGGATCTTAAACCAATCTGTCTTTCACAGAAGTGTTGTGCAAAAACATTTATTGCTGAGCTCAACCCAACATTTTTATACTAAATACACAATATATATTATTTTAAATTTATGTATATATATTTATATAAAATTAAAATGAGCTCTAAATAGAAAAGAAATTGTTGCCTGATCTAAGAAAAATAAATCACATGTAAAAGAAACCTGCAAGCTCTAAGTTATCTAGCAAAAAACATTGAAGATTCATTATTCAGGGGTCAAAGTCTCTCTAAAAGGTGTGATATAACCAGTAGTGTCTGGTTCAATCTCAAGTCAAACTACCAGAAAAACTATCTACTAAGAATTTCAGCATCTCTCGTCAAAGGAATGTTTCAGGGTTGAAGGAGAAGGGCATGATACTGGTTTATTTGCTCCTTTTCTTTATGACTTACTTAGTCATAAATAATTTTATGTTTCTGCCATTCTCACTTTTTATCCAACAGCACAAGGGACTCAACACCAAAGTTCTGTCCTAGTGTCAAAAGTGCAACATGTGCCGGATGCTTCCTAATCTTACATGTGAACTGGTTGATGTATTGCTATCAAAGGAAAAAAAACCAAAACAACAAAGCCAGCTCTGCAGTCTTGCGCTACCATGTAAAAAAGAGTTCAGGTCAAACTCCCCAGGCCAGCAGGGGCTGGAAATGCTGGAGACAACCCATTCAGCCCCCAGAAGAGAAGGCACCTCTGGTCGCTTTTGAACGACTCTTCTTTGGCTAATGCCTGAAGCAGTATTAATTTGACTCTGGAATAGGTCACAATCAGCTTTCTTTAACTAGCAAATCAATATAATGGATGGCTTCTGGGAGGAGTAAGATAAAAGATGAAGCCTGAGAATGAGAAAAGAACTGGTTGTGGTTTATGAAAGACATGAATAGAGTATCTTTTCAGCAGCAAATAAGCACAAGATAAAAAGTTTAACAAAAGGAAATACTGAAACATTAGTGTGATTTAAAAATATGGGAAAGAAATGCTAGTCTGACCAATAAAATGTGGGTTTCTTTTCATGTGAATGAATTTTCATCCCCTTCCTCCCTTAAATAAGAACTTTTGTACTTAAAAAAACCCTGAAAATTAATCAAAACAAATAGTCTGTGTCTCACATATTGATGTACCAGGAGATCTGTTTTTGAAGACAATTCTCTATTGAGACTGCATACATCTGTAGGCTCCCTAAAGCCAAACAGCCTTCTAAAGCTGGATAAATGCCCATTATCAGAAACTGCTTTTGTCTAAAGTTTTAATTATAATGCAAAGTATCCCAGCACCATCTCTATTCTACATAACCTTTGGTCCACAACCGTATAGTACACTCAGGACCTACACATAATCTTACACTGGGCACTTTGGGCACTAAGGATGAATCCACCTTACGCAATGAACGGAGAAACCTATTCTAGCTCCTTTCACCATTTCCACTTTTCATTGGACTTCACCCAGAAACAAAACGTTGGTGCTGCTGTGGGTTTGACGATCAATTTCTTTTAAGAGCCAATCAGAGCAGATAAAAAAGGTTGTTTCTTTAGGCAATATCAAACTGTGACCAGTCTGCATGACCAGGAGGACCAGTCCTCCTTTTCCTTCTCTCTTTGATCAAGTATTTTTTTATTTTTCTTCTTCCTCTCACCACAGTGCTTAGGATCAGAATATGTAAACATTGACAGAAACAGCAGCCCTGTGACAATAAGCACTTTCCCAACTGGGCAGATTCTGTCAGCCAACCAGAACTGCTTCAGCTCCCTTGCTCGTCCAGAAGTCACTGGTTTTTCCGCTGTAACTTAGTGTCCCCTTTACTTTGGCCTCCATCTGTAGTTGAGACACAGAAACAAAAGGGAAGAATAAAAGCATGAGCGAACTTTTGTTTTTGTAACTTACAGTAGGAGAGATGGGAATTTGGCAGGTTCAGCTTTAGCATCACCAAAAAGTATATTGTTTTTACTGAGTGGAAGACTTTGCATCTTCTCTGTAGTTCATTTATTAGAAATAGCGTTGTTGAAATCTGATGTATCAAGCTTCATACCAAAACACTGCCCAATTTTTTTGGTACTGAGAACTCTCAAATGAAGAACGCCCTCCAAGCCACTGCCATCTTTCCCATTCCTTCTCCTGGCCTGCAGAAAGCACACTATGAGTGACAAAGGTGTATACTCCAGACTGTGTATTCTAAAGCTTTCTGAAAATTTTCCTGCTCTAAGCCTTACAAACAGAAAAATAAAATCTACTGCTTCAAGTTTCCCTTCTCAATCAAAATATGCAACCCCTATCAAGCATAAAATTCCCAAGGAAAGCAGATATTCCATTAAGAAACCATCCCACCATTCACATGTGAATATACTCTTTTAAGAAACATGAAAAAAGCTTTTATCTTGAAGGTCAGTTCTTCCTTCAGAGGGGAAATGAAAATTTTTAGTGGATAAACTTTATATGCCTGTAAACAATTGTGTTAGTGTCCAGCAAGTACTATCCCTTTTTTCCCCACCAGTTGAATTTGTACACTTCAGTTTCTAGAATTGCTGCAGATAAGTATTGGAATTTTTGAAATTTTTTTGTTCCTGACCTTGAAGAGAAATAGGGGAAAAAAAAATCATTCAGGTTCCAAAAATACTGCTACAATAGTGTAAGTTCTGCCAGCTGCTCCCAAAGTTTGTCTCTATGTTATGTCTTCCCTAAACTAAGCACTGGTTTTATACATTATATTTCAGTCTAAGGCAGAAATCTGACTTTTAAGTTAAAATAAGTTAAAAATAAGTAATAAGAAATATATCATATCTTTACCTGTGTAAGCTTGCTGCAAGTGAGCAGGCAGAGGTGAGTGAGACAGCGTTGCTGCATGCTGAGCACCTGGCTGTAAACCCTTCAGTAAGTCTGGGGGGGAAATAAGGAGAACAAAGATAAAAAATAAATCTTAAGGAGAAAGGCAGTTTCCGTGAAATGGGTTTTTGTAGTGTAGCTGTAGTAGCAGGCTTATCTCCAAAATAAAGAATAGATACCTAATAGCACTCTGATGGCTGGAATAAGTCAACAGAGACAAACCTATTCAAATATAGTTAGTCAAAAGTCAGACCAAGGAATATGCCTTACTACTGGGATGCAACTCTTCATATAATTTTGTTTGGAAGAAAAACCAATATTTTACATGGCTTAAGAACATAAATACCTTCTTTATAAGCAATCATAAAAAGTAAATGCCATCTTGGTTGATAATTCTTCATAAGAGAGCTGTTTGATATCTGAGATTATTGAGTTACAGCTACTTTTAGGAATCACCATATTAAGTCTCTTATGTCAACAATGACATTTGAAGACTTTTTTCTAAAACTAAGGTATTAGAAGTTAACCCAAAAAAAGTACATTCAAAACTAAACATATACTGTGACTATAACAATGAAGTTAAGCTTATCAAAGGTGATTTATATCACCTTTATTAGGTATAATTATTAGGTAATTATGTAAAGAAAGTTTTTATCCGTGAAGGAATGCCATTTACAGTCCTGTAGGGATTTTCATGAACCAAATCTGAGTGTCTCAAGACTTTATTTCTTCCCTACTCAATTTCCATTTTAAGGATGCATCTTTCCTTATAGCACAGTGTCATAATTCCACTCACTCTGAGTTAGGTTGTGGTGGAAAGCCGCTGAGGTAGATCCCGAGGTGGTTGTCGCTCCAGCTGTGTCCGTCCCAAAGCCAAGCAGCTCCAAGGGAAACTGGAAGGGCACAGTCACAGGAACAAGGCCACCCAGCATCCCAAAAGGAGTTAATGGTGTAGACGTCACGTTCTGACTGGTTACAGACAGGGGTGATGCCATGAGAGTCAGAGGTGAGGCGTTAGCCAGTAACGATGCTCCTGCTGTTGACTATGCAATAAAAAAAAGAAAAAGAACAGCAGTACTTCAAGATTTTTAAATATTTTAATTGCATTCTTCAAGGGTATAAAAATCAACTATTCCCTGTTAAGTGTTGCTCTGTTGAGAAGTATATTAAACTATTAATGAATATCCACTTATCCACCTAGGAAGCCTTCCCAGTGTTCATTTACTAAGCAAGCACAGTTATACTGCAGATTCAGACATAAGGGTATGCTTCATCTATCATGTTTTTCTCATTAGCCTTACAGGTAATTTCCTTGACCTCCTTTCTAATTATGCACTGGCCTACAGTCACAATGTAATGCAATATCCTCTATTAGATTAATAATATGAAATTATCCAATGTAGAGCTGAAGTTCTTTAGTAGAGTATTACACCTCCCCCCATTATTTCTAAAGAGGTTGCAGAGAAACAATGAATTCTGAAAATTAACATTCATATGTAAGGATCCCCAAACTTAAGAAGTCAGGTTAGCAAAATGCATGCATACACACATACATACATATGTAGAGGTGTGCTTGTTAATGTCAGAGGAAAAGGAAAAAAGCAAAGGAAAATAATCTCTTCACTCTAAATGTCAAAATGAAGTTAAATTCACTGCAGTTTTAAAATTAAAATGCAAGATTAGTCAGAACATTTTAGCTACAACAGCTCCTAAATCGCATTAACTCCTCTAACATTATATGAGCTCATTATTAACACTTTCACTACATATACAGTAATTTCATATGCTAATGTTAAGTTCTCTAATTATCTACTACAAAACAGTTAGTATAGAAAGCACTTTGAACCAGACTCAACTCAGATATTGCAGTTATTTGAATTAAAAAGACTCAGACAGAATAGGATTTCAGATCTGTGCATTTCACAAGCCTCAACTAAACCCAAAACTTCGTTATTTTAATAAACACATGAGCTTAAAATGAAAACGACATTTCACTGAATTCTGTAGTAACAACTTACAGGAAAAGCAAAGTGATGAAATCTCCTAGCATGGATAAAGTTTTTATTACCAGTTTTGGTCTTAAGATGTTCCGATGAAAGCAGCTAAAGAAAGGACAGTTGCTTATGAGAAAACATAGTATTTTAAAACAGTGGCCCTGTAAAGGGTATTTACCTACACATGATGTTCCTAGTAAGTGTTTATATTAACACTTAATATAAACATTATCTTAATGTCATCTTAAAGGTACCAACTTCTACAACATACTCTACCCCACAAATAAAAAAAAATAATGAAAAGTATCAACATACTATTATTCTCTTTTGACTTTAAAAGTACTAATTTCATAATAAGCTTATGTACAAAAAAATGACAACTGTTCATTGCTTATGTAATCTAGTAAAGGGCAAAAAAATAAAAGCCATACAGTAATGTTTTTCAACTGTGAATTTGTAAAATGCCTGAAAACAGAAACTTTGTAAAGTGCTCTGCCAAGATCTTGCTTGCTTACTCAAAAAGGAGGAGAGAGTACAGTGAAGAAAAGAGCTACAGAGCATGCCCTAAAGGAACTGCAGTTCAGATGTTTCTATTTCACTCTTGTACATGAGTTCTTAAAAGAACTGCTCATGTAGATCTGAGTCATTCAGATCCTTAGAAGTCTCAGCCAGATTCTGCTTGAGTACTAAAGGTAGGTAGATCTTTTTAAGGGAATTACACATGTACTCTTTGGCTTTGTGTCCTCAAGATGTAACTTTCTGTGAGGCTTCAGCAGGTATAAACTTGTATTCTGGTAAATAATTGTGTCAATCAGAAGTGGAAAGGAGGGAAACAATTCTTGGAAGCTTCCTAGTTAAGAACACCTTTATTATCACATTAAATCATCTTGTTTCATCTTTAATGTAAGTAGACCGGAATGTTAAAATGAGCGATGCAGGTACCATTCTCATCTTCTAATAACATCTCAAATAGGAATTAAATCCCTAAGGCTTTAAAGGAAAGGAGATTCAGTATTCTGTGAAGTTTTAAGAGGAATAACTAAGTTCTTAGTACATTGTACCTAACAACTGATCTGGAACTGATGTTGGTTCAGCAGCCTTTAGACCTTTATAGCTAAATAAAAACCTCTGTGATCACAAATCTCTTCCCCTTTAGTGTACTTGAACTGGGAGGTAATTAAATTCTAATCTTTCTCTGAATGTACTCCACTGACTAAGCTTCACAGTGCACAGCAGCAACAGCCTTATTCCTTGGTTTATCTTCTTTGATTTCTTTCATAGTGTTCTTCTGAACTGTTTTTAGGTTATCAAAGTAATTTATGAAGTGTCAAAAAAGCCCTTATGAAAGGTCTCAATAATTATTTTAGTGATATCATATGCCACTCAGTACTTCTAGCTGATTTACCCCTTTCTATATATCAACACACCTTATTTTGCTGTATTATAGTATGGACTCATGTTGCTTGATTATTCACCACACACCCCACACTTGAGTGCTCTTCAGTAGAACTGTGGCCAAAATGTATTTCATTACTCAGGTGATCAGTGTTTCTAACAAAAAAATTACATGCCTTCAACTACAGGTACAGAATTCATCTCATCGCCGAACACAACACTGCTTATTTCCCTTCTCCATCATCTTTAAGCACTACCACACCCATTTCACATTTTGTTCTACATCATAGCCATTGCATCCACTGGATTCTGCTGACTGCACCAGGAAGAAACAACTCTCGTCCCAGTCCATTCATTGTAGCCCCTTTTGTCTCCTCCAGGCACCTCCTAGAGTACTCAAACTGCACTGTACTTGGTTCAGTTCTTCTCCAGATGTTATGTGGCATGGCTATAATGTGGTACCTCAGTGGCCTGTACACAGCATACAGGTTGTGGATTTTTTCTCCATTCAAAGAACCCAGAATAAGTGAAAGCTGTGTCAGAGCCTGCCAGACTTTTATTACTGACTGTTTTAGTACAGTAGGATGAAAGACCATAGAAGTGCTTCGTAAAAATCATCTTCCTCCTGTTATTCAGCTGCATTAGGAAGAATTTGATGGCAAACTAAAAGATTATAAAATATTGCCAGAATTTGAGTATACATCACTCCCATGGAACAGCAATGTATGCTGTTCAGAATAATACAAAGTTGTTCATTTGCTGTACACCAAATGTAATTTACAGCAATACTGCTTTTCTTAAGTATTGATGACTTCAGCATAGAGAACGATAGGAAAGCATCAAATCATCCCAGTAATTAAGTATTCCCAGTAAGAAGAACACAAGCTGGGAAAGCAAGTTGTCTTCTGGGTAAATAATACGTTTATATGTTTTAGAACAACAGTATTTTCAAAATATTTGTCTTGTTTGATTTGTCTTATCTCTAGTGTTAGTATAAGCTTTTATTTTCTAGGGTATTTATATATTAATGGGGTGTCTCATTCAGTTCAACTAGATCCTACAGAACAAAATACACAGTCACAAATACAAAAGCAAAGCCCTTGCAAGTGTTAATTACAATTACAAGTCTTGAATTACAGTCAACCACATGCAACTGAACTCTACTTTTGCAGTTAATCATGAAGCCTGACAACAAACATACGAAGACACCTTTTACATGACCACCATCATTACAAATATGTCAATATGAGAGAATTCACAAATCAAATAATGCAAGTAAAAAATACTACATCCACTGAGAATATGGTCACACAAAGCTTACCTTTTCTAGTGCTGTTGAAAGAAAAAAAGTGAATTCTTTTCCACAGTATAGACCAACAAACAGTTTACAGTGAGGATTTGTTCTACACTGATCCTGGCATTCCACATCAGCTGGAAATACACATTCTTTAGTGTGAAATAGTTTCATCAGTATCAGCATTATGCTCAAAATGGTAAAAAATTAAATTTATGACATTTACAAATCAAGAAATACAGTAAGAATGTTTACAAAATAAGTGCGATAAACATTTATGTAAGGCTCAAATGTAAACTTGTTAGATGCGTACCTGCACACTGGCTGCTACAACTGGAGACCCTGAGGCAGAAGATGGTCTGTGTGGAGTTGACAACTGTTTAGTAGCACCCTGTGTTCCACTTCCTGCTCCCCCAGACAGACTAGTCCTACTAGCTCCACTTGAGTTAAGGTTACTGCCTCTGCTGGCAGGTACATTCATTCCAACTCCACCCAGATTATTTTTACCAACAGTTCCAGAAGGAGAAGAGTTGGGCAATTTTGAAGAAGCCTGAGGGTTTTTTGCAGGCTGAAGGCCTGAGGTGCGATTAGAAGACAGCAAATTCACTGTGGGAGACTGCCTGCTGATATTTACACCACTGGTCTGTTTATGAAGGGGGTTGTTGCTGGAGTGACTACTCTGGGAAACTAGTGCACTTGAACTGGAAGAACTGGGTGTTGTTGCAGGCCTGGGGGATGAGGTGGACTTAGATGAAAATTTAGGTGATGCATTTGGCTTGGGTGTCACAGAGGGCTTAGATGAAGTGGGCTTGGGAGAGGCAGCAGGTTTGGGAGAGGCAGCCATGGAGAAGGGAGGCTTGAAACCCTGGGAAGAAACTTGTGACACCATAGCCTTGGCTAAATAGTTACTAGAGGTAGAGGTGCTGGATGTTGTCCGAGAAACCAGTGGGTGAGACACTTGAGAGCCACTTCCGGATGAGGGATTAGACAAAGGCAGGCGATACACTACAGACTTATCTTGAGCCTTGATGACTGGTGATGAGCAAGAGAGTTTAGGATTACTACTCAATTTCACCACAGGATTGGTCTGTGATTTACTAATAGTTGCTTGTAAGGGAGATACATATTTCTGTTGTACAGCTGAATGCTGGTGCACCTTTGTCACTTGTGATGTTGAGGAATTACCACCTTGAGCCTCAGCAGACGATACCAAGATATTAGTATCCTTGGTTCTTTGAGAGGAGGTGGAAATAGCTGCTTGAGTCTTAGAGGAAGAAACATGAGTCTGAGAAGAGGAAGCAGCTTGGATCTGACTTGACCTCTGTAGTCCTTGTTGAAGTAGTTTGGCTGGCAAAGGCTCTAAGGAAACCTTGGGATTTTGAATTGAAGATCCAGCAATAAGGCCTGAAGAGATACCAGTGTGAACTAAGTCCTGGGGTTTCTTTGGTACTGGCCCTGTGTGACCAGCAATGAGACTTGATGAATGGGATGTTTGAGTGGGCTCTACTTTCTTTGAAGTCGCCAGAGGCAACTTACTCATAATGCTTGCTAGTTTCTCTTCCCTCAGCCCAGGGCGAGGTCTGGATGTTGGTGTGTCTATGGTGGACCCAAGAGGTGATCCCTTGGCACCATTATTGATAACTGCCAGAGCATCAGAAACAGAATCCAGTGAGGGTGGGTGGAAAGAGAGGTCCTCATCCAGTGAGTCATCCAAGCAGATCGTCTCTGGAGCTGCTGTGCAACTAGAGCTGGCTGGGGTGCACACCGCTGCACTGGAACTCAGTACAGTAGCACAACTTGAATTGACTGAAGATATACAAGCTTTCTGTTCTTTTTTTGGACTGGAGTCCTGAAAATGAAGGGATAGGAAACATCAGGTTTAGCAGTCTTTCTGAAATTGATTTAAGGTCATGTTAGTGTAATACTTTTATTCAGTAAATTCAGACAAACCAAAGATCTACTGTTGAAATTCTCATATTAAGATACTTGTGATATCTAGGTGCTGGAGCCCTATGTGCTAATTCAGTATTTGGATTTAAAAATCTAGCACTGTTGCTCCACTTAAGCAGAAGTGGTTAACTTAACCATATGGTGAAGAACAATCAATAATGTGCAGAATAGGGTAGCTAATCTGATCACTTAGTAAAACTGCCACTGAATTAAGACAACACCTGATCACATCAAATGAGGACCTCTATACTATGGTGTCCTTCCAACCACACTGTTTTCTGGTGTTGCCAAATTTAACACAAACTGGAAACACAAAAAGCACACATTTAAAAATGTGAAACATGACTGGAACTAGTACCTCTTCATAGTCAATTTTCAATAGACTAATACAGCAGTATTTTGTACTACATCCTTTGAAATAATGCACCACCAAGTCAATAAGCATTGCCGGACAGAATCCTTCTGCAAGAATTTTTCAGGATCAGAGGCAGAACCAGGTTGTACCAAATGGTCACACTGGACCATTAAGTGTGTATTCAGATATCTTAATAGGCTTTTACCTTCACTTTGGGTTTAGGGGCCAGAATCACCTTCTTCTTTGCCCTAAAACAGACGGGATAAATGTGAATCAGAAGACCAAAAAAACCACAAGGAATTTTCATTTTAAGTGTTACCCTAATTATATTCCAATAAATTAGAATGATGACTACAGGGGTCCAGCTTTAATAATAAAACATCCTTGAAATGAAAAGTTGTTTGAAATATAGAGGGAAAGAAAAATAGCACACTATCAATTAATTTTCTGGCCATCTATCTCTATGCAAATTAATTTCAAAATCAACTGAATTTATGATATAACCTGACACATAGATCAGGATATATCTAGAGATCTGGTTTTATTTTTCTGATTTAGAGGAAATTCAAAATATCAATTAATTTCAACCTCTTAATATTATGAGTTTGTCTACTTAGCAAAGCTTTGTCTACACTGAAGTCTTCTAGAATAGTAATATAATTTCACTTTTTACATAGGTATTTTTGTCCCTGAGGAGGATGCTTCCTATTCTCATTTATTTCAAGCCAGATAAAAACAGTTGTTTGTTCCCCCCACAAAAGTGGTTTGTTGCTCATCAACTGTTAGAACAGTTTGTTCTAATTTGTTTGCTGCAAGAAGTAATTTAGGAAACTGACAGATTTTCTTCTGCAATGTACACAAACTGCAGTTATGCAAGTAAGGACAGCATTAAGGATTCTTAGTTATCGGCTTCAACTTAAGAGGTTCAGCATTTCACAGTTTATTTATTCAAGAGCAATCAATAGATTTACATTGTATAGGCAATTTTTGATCCTTTCCTAAGCAACTAGAAATGCACCTGGTTAAAAAAAGACTTTACTGTAGGTGGACCATGACTCAGTTTTGATGTGATGCAGAAAAATATCCTATGTTAATCATATTTATCACAAAAGTTGGAATTTATGTTACTTAAAGTCATAACAATTTGAATTCTGACTGAATGTGGACAGCTCCTGAGAGGCACACAGTGTTGTCTGAAAACGAAGAAGATAAAATCCCACTAAGATACACAGCCTTCTGGGATTAGAGACATTTTTGAGGAAAAGAAAACCAGGAAGTATTGCAGTCTGAGTTCAGTTTAATATGTCAAACTTTAGGCAGTGCGTAATGCTTTGAGTAAAAGATATTAATTCAAGAATTAATAACCCCTGGAGTTATCTAGCCACTTCACAAAATATAATGCCACAAGAACATTACAGTTATATGCCTAAACTAAAGCATTAAAAAAGATTATAAGCATCACTGTAAGTATCTTCAAACAAATTCCAAAGTACCTCCCTTTCCTTCCCTCTGTCTAAAACAGGTAGCAGGAAGATGAGAAAAGATACTATGCACAACCTAAAGATCTTAGCAGGTTGTCACCATTATACTCACGGAGCAGAAGTGAGGTGATTGTGAACACTTCGGCTTTCTTTAAAAAGCATCCTAAAAGAGTGGTGAGAAATGAAACATTAAGTGATTCTACAGTGATAAACAGCACGTGACCACCAAATACCCAAATATCCTTTGGTTTTTAGTACAGCCTTTGATTATCTGTCCCCAAGGGAGCTAATGATTACTTTGTATTGCTGTCATGTTATAGGTCTTGACATCCATAAATAGAAGAATCTAAAAAAATGTAATAATCTGCATTTATGCTCAAAATACCTCAGTAAACAGCCAAGCAAAAATCAACATAAAATATTACTTTCTTCAATTGGATAGAAGAAATACACTTTGAACGCTCTCTCCTCAAAGACTAATGAAATATTTCAAATATAAAAGAAAAGATTATTGTGTATACATGTATACATGTCCAACACACTGATCATAGGCTTGGGTTTGTGGTTATTAATCTCTTGTGGGGTTTTTTAAAGCACAGAAGACAGAAGTCAGAACACAGTAGCCAAGCTTGTTTCTAGTTTTCTTCAGTAATTTTAGTATTGAAAAAACTTAAGTAAAAGTTTCAAAGTTTAGGAAAAGAAAAACTTTAGGCTCTTGTGTATAATTTCTTTGACTTCCTTTATACTGGACTTATACATATTACTACAGAGCCAAGGAACGGCAAGAGCCAGTATGACAAATCTCAACACTTCACATGCTTTTATTCAATGTCTTAGCTCCTGAGTTGCCAAGAGGAAAGTGAAAATGATTGCTGACCTGTATCTATCCTACAGCTTACTATTCAAATGCAGCTACAAATAGACAATGGACACTTGGTCCCCTTCCTTGTTTCCAGATAGGCAAACTAGGAGAGACAATTTTCTTACAGCACTGCCATCACATTGACACTGACTGCATCATGAACAGCTGTCTAAACAAGAGCTTTTCACCACTCATAATACAACCTACAGAGCTACAATAATTACAAAAAATCTGAGTATCCAACAATTTCATGTCATCTGGTAAGAAAACACTGACATCCTCTCATTACAGTTCAGGGCCTTACTTCTCAGGTCCTATTTCCAGCTACATTTTCACATTTTCTTCACCATACTAACCTCCAAATCTGTATTGCATTGCTCTATCAGAGACTACTGAAAGCCTATGAGGAAATGTCATGGAGCAAAACCATTCCTCATTACATGTTTAATGGGCCACCACCCAACCAATTCAGCTTCTCCAGAATATTTCCCTCTCCAGCTCCTTCTTGGTGCTTTATCCACTCCTTAATCATTTCAATTTGGAAATGAAAATTCAAAATTAATCACAGGCCCAAGTAATTTGTAGGCTCATCCTTCAATGTTGAAGACAAAATTTTAAGGCTATCAAAGGACAGAAATCATAGACATGGTACAAAGAAAGGACAGAGCAGTATATGAGGTCACTTCCAACCTTAACAATCATCTGATTCTGTAATTTCCAGTTATGATCAATACCTTACACCTCTTGCTTCCTTATGGAGCTATGAGAAACATTAAATACAGTTAACTTTGGAAGTGCAAGATATTTTCCTTCTAAAATGAACACACAAAGTTCTGGTACCGTATACCAATTCTGATTAGTAAGAATTCCTTAAAAAAAAACATGGTCAGTAGATCAGTTTTAGCACTAAATACCTATTTTTTTTTCAAGCTCATATAGCTCCTTTTCACTTGAGGCCACATATAAAAAATGTATCAGCATAATCCCTAAGCCAGCATCCAACAAGATGAGCATTCAGAATAAGAATTATGTGCTGTATTAGGAATTACCACTGCCAGACTCCAAGAAATACTTTCTTTTTACCTTTCCATGCATAACTGTTTGCCTACAAATTACAATACATCACTTCCTTAACAGAAAGCAGGAAAGTGCCAACCAGTAGATACAGGACAATTTGTAAATTATCATGGTACTAAAACCACCCAGTTAGTAAATGAAGTCTTGCTGGTCAACAGGAAGCTATTATCTGTTACCTGTTCAGGTTTGTTTGGTCTGTTGGTCGTTTTCATTTGCTTTGAGAGGCATTTTGGTTTATTGTTTAGTTTTCATCTTTTGTTGTTGAAGCCAATTGTATGGATAGTTTAAAAGCTCATAGAAATTTCCAGCAGACTTAAATGGAAAGGAGAGAACCATATGTTTAATGGCTTCTCAATACCAAGTTTTAATATGCTTCACTTCTATGTAATCTTGAATCCCCTAACACTATCTCTTGACTGTTTTTCCACTATCATCAGTGATCTTCCTATCTTCCATTCCTAAACCAAACTGGGAAACTCTGTCTCATCTAATTCAATAAAATCTTCATAACAGACAATTCAGTCATTAATCTCACTCATTAGCATACTTCCACAAAAAACTACATCACTGAACAAAAATAAGTCAGCTGTATGCCAGGAAGTGTCAAACTTCATTCGTTCCTTCTGTTACTATTTAACCAGCTATTTCTACACTGACTGTTCTAAGAAATACCTCAGTAAAGTTATTTTTACAGTTTGATACAGATTTGACAAAACTAAACTCAAGGTATTCTTGAACAAGTTGATTAGTTGTATCATTTAGCTTTTACAATCAGGTTGAGGTTTGATTAAATTATCTTTTGCAGTGAGTACTACAGAAAGAAAGAACTCAGTCCAAACCATACTTGGTTCTCTTTCACACCAAACCCTTAGAAATCTCTGCCAAACCTGTATTTCACAATGGTTTACTACTGCTCCTCCCATTTTATTTCTCCCTCTTTTTTTATCTGGTTGTTTCTTCCTGTGTTCATAAGAAGCAAGTATAGAAACTGGTACATTTTAAAATGCTGTAAAACAGAGGATCCCAACTGCAAACAAGAAATAGAGAGCAGAATCCTTAAGTCTGTTGTCAACACCACTATCAAAATTCTGTGTGAGCAGTCTGATAAAGCAATGTTCCAACATACAGGCAAAACTGATTTCTAGATCAGTATCACTTCCTATAAAAGGAACTCTTCCATACAGAACTTTCCAAGCTGTTACCCTCCCACCTCATACTTCTCAAATGAAGCATTCAGTCTCTAGGAGATGATAAAAGCAAGCAACTCTCCAAGGAAAACAGTAGGGTTTCACACACTCAGGCTTACAAACAAGACAGAAAATTAATTTTAGAGAAACATTTGTTCTTCCAAAATATTCCAGCTTCACAAACATACTCTTAAGTTCCAACCAATATCAACAGTACATGGTTGAGTCAAATGTAAGACAAATATGAACCAAATAACACCAAAGTGAATAATACAGTGAATAAGCAGGTATCTTACCTTGCCTGCATCCAGCCTTTAGGCCAAAGTGGTTTCACTTCTGTTTCCATGAAGGTTTTGAGGTAATCTTCAGCAGACTGACTTCTATTTGGCTCTAGCTCGTAACATCCCAGCTTGATCTTAACAAGATTACATAACAGAGACCTGCAAAAAGAAACAAAATAAATATACTGAAAGACACAATCCTTTCAAAAGCTCAATATAAAAAAGATAAGAAATTGAAGGTGCTGTCTACTGATAGCTGGAAGTTGTTCTCGGTTCCAACTGTGTTTTTTGGAAGTTTGTACTGCTCAAAGTATTGCTACTACAAACTGGTATGGTCTACCATTGTCACTTCTCCATTTCCAAAAGACTCTATTGCTCTTGTTTTCATCCTACCATCATTTTGCCATTTTTTTACATTTTCTTTGTGTTTTTCTCATAGTTGGAACATTTCCTCTCACTGCTCACAGTGACCTCTCATTTGTCTGAAAGGAAGTGAAATCCATTCTTCACTGAGTACTTCAACAGAGGGTTCTTTCTTACAGGGATTTTGTCTTTTGTTCTTAAAAATATAAAAGTGCACACAGTTAAGTATCATCAGCCTTCCAGAGCCTCTTCAATGAAAAAAGCAACAGATTTAAATATCTCTCCCCTCCCGGTCAGTCCAAGCTATATTGCTTGTACATATTTCATGAAGCTTTCTTCCCTGTTGTCTTCACATACTAAAAAGGCTCAATGAGAGAAGTCCACCAGCCCCTTTAAAAGATATAGATTATATAGATAAAAATATTAGTCATCTCAGTTTTCAGAAAAATCTGTTCTAGGAAACCAAACTCTAGTTTCACGTAAGAATCTGTGCTGCTCTTGAGAGACATCAAAGAATTTGTGTTCAGAGGGAAGAGAAGGCGTTAAAATGAATGCATTTTTCTAGCTCCTGGACTGGGAGGCTTGCCAAATCAATACCACCAATCCTGATGGCCTGTCCTCCTGCGGCAGAAATCTCTAGTGCCCATTGGTTTTTGTAACATATTCCTAGAAAGGTGGGAAGCAGTTTTAACACTGCTTACACACCTGTTCTTTGCCTAAACAAGCTCAAAGTCCCGGAGTCAGAAAATACTTGTGTATTTGGATAAATCAGAAAAACAAGCAGTGAAACTTGAAAGGATTGGACACAGGATTTTCCTTTCAAGTCAAATAAGGTGTTTCACCATTACAGAATTCCAGTTTGCCTATTTAACACCAACACTCTTCAAAACTTCTCCAAGGTGTAATTCTGAGCAAAATTATTTATTCAATAGTATCATGTAATAACATTCTCTTGGAGATCCCTTTATAACTTCAGTCAAAATTCTTCATGGAAAAGGTAGCTTTGTCTTACCTCACTGTGTCATCCCAGTGAAACTTCTTTCTGGGTCCAACAACCCTCTTTCCTGGTTTCTCATCATCATCTTCCTCTGATCCATTTTTCTCTCGTTCATCTTCCGCTTGCAACCTACATTTGGAACAATTATTTTCTTTAGAGCTATACTACACAGACAAAATATTTCATTGAAAAAGGAGTGTCATTCTAGGTGTTAGGGGGAAAAATAAACCACTGAAGACCTGTTTTCAGATTTTTGCTATACTTCCTTACAGGATAAGCAGTTCAATCTCCCTCTCCCCACTACTATGTGGTTCTCAGCCAAATGAAAATGACACACTGTACAGATGCTTTCACTGATGCCCCTATGAACTTCAAGCAGTGCCTCTAATGGGAAGTGGCAGGATACTTAATGAGCTATTAATACCCTTAGAAGTCTAAAATTAGTTAGATATGATTGAAACGATTACAATGAACAAGGACAAAATATATAAATAACCTCAACATACCATCTTCCTCCATTAATTCCTCATTTTAGGAATCAACCAATAATCCTTCAGATGGTTTTTTTTCTGTCAAAACCTATCTCAGATAATGATTTCTCTCTGGTGTCAGACAATAACACACAAAGTATTTTGTACAATTCAAAAAAGACACCCTTAAACTGGAGCAGAGCAATTTTCTGAGCTAAGGAAGTAAACAACATGGATACAAACTTCCAGCTGGGTTCTAAATAGGCATGCACAGTCTCCAGAATAACCTACTTGGCATTCTTGGCTTGATTGCGGGCCTGACAGTCCTCTTGATACTTGCATAACTGTTCAGGCATGACATTACTGACAGCCAGTTTCAGCTTCTGCAATGGTTCTCTCAAGCGGTCGTCCTGTGAAAAGAGGAGCACCAAAATAAGCCTATTAGATGTAAAATAAAGATCATTTCAGATAGTTTCATGAAAATTTCTGTATCACTCCCAAGGTAACATTCCCAATACTATTTATGGACTGCAACAGATATATTCCACATGGCACTTGAATCCTGTTAGGTGCAACACCATTATATAAATGCACATATGTCTCACCTAAGTCTTGAGACTAGAAACAACAAAAGATAGTCACAAATAAATGTGTCATGAATATCCCAGAACATTACAGCATGATCTCTTTAAATAATGTTTTTCAACTAAAATAGGGAAGGGGAAAAAACTTAAGGGAGAAAAAGTGAGATAAATTGACCAACCGACATCTCAACATTTGCAAATAAGTATCCTATTAATCAGATCTCCAAAAACTGTGGTATAAAAACATCCCAGGTAATGAACAAAGTATGAATATGTATTATATTATCCAAATAATAAATTGTTATTAAATGCAGTTTATGTACCTGAAGGGTAAGGACTATGTATTTAGAATTGTCTCCAAATATTAAGAACTTCAAACATTAAGGTAATATACCATACACTTCACTACATGTTTTAAATTCACTTTCTACATCTTCTGACTTTACATTATTAGTTTTAATTGCTTATTGAAAAGAACTAGCATATTTTATGTTTATCTGCTTAGAAATATAATTTAAATCTGTTTGCCTTATTATCAAGTACCAAGATCTCTGCACTCGTCTTCAGATCCTCTCTAAGATTTAGTCCTGGATTTTATCTAAAGAATTTGGTACTTCAGATCACAGATAATTTTCTATTCAACAGCTAAAAACCATCTTTAAAAGAAAAGTAACTGAAAATGACATACAAATAATTTTGTAAGACCTAGTAACAAAAGGAAATATTGAACAAATAATACAGTCTTGTCATCTATTATCCATCTAGCTTTCCTTTTTTTCTTGACACAAAAGTGAATACAAAAGTATGTTTTTTTAGCCTATCATAACTATTATTTCTAACTCTGCTGCTTTTATAGATACCCTCTGACTACAGTAATACTCAGTATTCAGCAGAAACACTCCTTCATAGCCTGTATCCAGCTTTCAAGATGAATGCACTTTATTCTTGAATAAAGACTCTGAAATACTTAAAGTATTTGTTCCTAACGCAGTTACAATATCAGGCACATGCAAAGAACCTTTTAAACTTATCTAGCAACTGACACAAAATATTTTGCTTGATTTGAGGCTGTATGGCTACTGCTCTGCTGCATTCAGTCCTCCTTGCTGTCACATAATTGACTCTTGCTGGAGCTCCTCTCCCCCATCATTGATTACCTGGACATTGAGGTGTAACTTCTTCAGGCGTTTTATCAGCGTGTCCTTATTGCACGGCACGAAAGCCTCCAGGTGTGAGTACACTCCATTGCGGATGGCAGGATTCACCTCCTGTAACTGTAGCTCAATGCTGACAAACAAACAGGAGATGCTCAGTCAGAGACACACTCCAAGGTAAAGATGACATATGAACAAAAACCTAAGGAAACTTTGGAAGCATAGCACATTCTAGCTAGGCATACTAGAAACAGTTGCTTGGGACTTTTTCAGATAAGCTTTTTTATAAAAGGAAGAAGTCCTAATCAATGGCAAGAAACCATTAATGTATGCACTTGTCCAGCAATGTCGAACACTCATTCAAATTTAGTTTACATATATCACTGCGAATCAAAAGTGATATGATTTTACTTTTATAGTCTTCTAGAGATTAAGTTTGTTTCTTAGCATATGAACACATATTAAACCCTTAATTGAAGATTACAGAGAAAATAGTCTGCCATTTGCCCTCATGAAAACTGAAGGTGTTTTGAGTTACAAAAGTGGGAGACAGGAGCAAATAACAGCAATTTTGTTGAATTTTACACATAAAGTCAAGGACCAGGGCACTACAAAACATTTTACACTGGATTAAGACAGACAGGAATGACAGGAATTGTATGCATAAATAAATCTCTTTAGCTAATAACTAGCTTAGACTGATCTACCTTCATTGACTTTTAAGGGCTTTGTTGGAACAACCTCAATAATACTTCCTCTTCTGTACTTTTCCTTTCACCCCCTTTCCAAAAAGGGAAGGTTCTACAGATAAGCACTTACTCCAGAAGAATATTATTCATGTCTTGTGTGAAAAACTTCTTCCTGCCTTCTTCATCAAACATCTTGGCAGCCTGGAAATACAATAAAATAAAAAAAAAAGCATCCAAGTTCATAGAGTATTTTGAACCAACAATTTTTGTATCTTCACTTTTACAGCCCTATCATATTCTTCTTTCCCAGATAACATTAATTGGAAAAGAATAAAGAAAATCGAGCTATTCTCAGCTGTTTAGAAAAAACTGAGGACTGTTATTGTTATACTCAAATATATACACTAGGGCAGACAATCATTCTGTTTAGGATCTGCCTGGATCACTGATGTTAACATCTTTTGAATTACCATTAAGAAAATGGTAGATGCTTTATCACCTCACCACCACTAACATCCTACTATGACTGTTTTAAAAAGAGAAGCGTTGTTTGACAGGTCAAGAAGGTAAGAGCATTAACTAACACATTTCTGTTCCATCTTTTTCTGCCTGTTATGTGCCTCATCCAGTTACATCTTCCCAGCTTTCTCAGAGCTCTCTCAAACCTTCACTGCAATTTCTACAAGGGGTTATGTATGCTAGAGGAATACCTCATCCCCCTTTCCTGCTGCTGTCCAGAATTCTTGCCATCTTTAGAATGTATCTCTAGTATTTTTATTTGATCTCTTCCTGAGTCTGGTTGTGGGGGAAGGGAAGATAGCCTTATTTATATACATATTTCCTTTTAAGAGATGTTTTTACTGATCTCAAAGGAATTCCCATGCAGAATCCCTTTCTCTTTGTTCTTATCACCTAGATCCTCTTCTTTTTTTCACAAGGAATGACAGCTTATAAGACAAAGCCAATTCCCTATGTCATTCTACAAAAATCAGTAAGAATCTTTCTCGAGTGTACATCTACCCTGCAGAATTTTAGAAATTGAGAAAAAAGAGCCCCACTTCGAGAGGCCTACTGTCACCTTACATATTGGCATGGAACCAGATATCTAGAGGAGCTAGAAAATTCTATGCATGCAGAAAAGTAGGTGTGTGGTATCATTATAGTGACTGACAAATGTTAGAGCCTCATAGCCAACACGCTATGAGGCTGAATATTCAAATAATTAAGAAGCATTAATTATGTCTATAGAACCACAGAATGGTGACTTGCAACAACATAGCTAAAAACTACAAGTAAGTGCAAGTGTTAACATGAATAAATGAATTTATTATTATTAAATACTTACTGTTCTTGCTTTTTGTAACTGACCCACTTAAATTTGAAAGAAAAATATTTTCTAAAACTTGTGAACTCTACACTGCACAGGAAAACAGTGTGACACTCTGTCAAAGCTGTAAGGTAGCCCATTGTCTGAATGCTTTATGACTTCAGTCATGAACACTGATACTGGAGTTTAAGTTCCTGCAAGGAGTGCATTCCACTCATTGTTTTCTACCATAAATTCAGCTCCTGAGGGGATGGTACTATCTGTTTAAGAACACTGAAGCATTTGCCCTGCTAAAAAAATTAGAAAGGTTATAGATGCTTGCAAGTGATAGAGTACCAAAAAGACAAGTCAGAGTCTTAAATCCAATACCTTTATGCCTAATTAACACAGGGATTAGAATCATCATCTGGTTCACAGAAAACAGAAGGAAAAAGCTTTGACATTTTGGTCCCAGGTAAACCTTGAAAGGCAATTCCAGCATTATACTATTATGCTGGACAGCATTGCTGGCCTTTAAAGAGAGCAACACTGGCACATTCAAAAACTTCATCGCTATTACTATGGTTGGGTTTTATTTCCAGAGTGATTATCTTGACAGTGACCTCCAAAATAGAAAAAAATCCTTTTATTTACTTTCCTGCTTGTTATAATATTGCCTTCTGTCATGGTAGTTCAGAATAACCCACTCGGGGAACTAGAACACATTAATCTACCAAAGGAAGCCAGGAAGCTTTTAGTGCCTTTAGTCAGTGGCTTTCTAGTCTTATTATTTTTTTAATCTTGATATATTATACTCCAGCCATAGAGCATAGACTTCTTCTTACAGCTTTATAAACTTTGCTTTGTGCTAAAGAGCTCTAAAGCTGTGAGAGTCTGGTAAATATTTGACAAGACTCATTTATTTTTAGTGCTTTTTAGAAGATGTCTGATTATAATTTTCAGGAGGTGTGCAAGTTGCAACCTTTAAGTAAACATACAGACTAGTTGCTCCCCAAGTATAAACTTAAACTTGTTCTGCTCAGTCAGGAATCTTTCAGAAGATGCTGTCAAAAATGGAAGACGGAATTGCTCCTAGCTGGTCTAGTGGAAGGTACCCCTGCCCAGAGCAGGGGTATTGGAGTGGATGATCTTAAAAGGCCCTTCCAACCCAAACCATTTTATGATTCTGTAAGGAGTTAAGTTTTCCAAGAGCCACTCAATCAATGATGCCTCCCAACTTGTTTGAGATTGTTATATAGAGAAGCAACATGATTTAACTTGGGGTAAGTTACTAAAACTTCCTGACTTCTGGCCTAATTAAATTCTACACTTTTGTTAGAAGCTTCTTATGGATTCATAGCAAAAATAACCTGCATAGTGAGAGGTAGACAGAGAAGCTCCTTCACTTTAGTAAATACTAATTCCTTGACTATATTTAGCTTGGTATGCTTAAAACTAAATAAGAAAACTAGAAGGCATTTCTATGCAGGTAAGAGCAAAGCAAGCCCTGCAATTGTTTAAATTATTTTCTCTTTGTCCAAAAAAGACAGTAACTTGAACTGTTTTTTCAAAACTTACTATGAGTAAAGAAAAGCTGCACTTTATTCTAAATAAGGAAAAGCTTTAATATCATAATCTGAACAAGCAACAAATTTATTCTCAACTTAGGACAACATCCACAACTGAAACAAGGAGTATGTAATACCTTAATAGCTTTGATCCCTTTCAGTAACTTACTGGAATACTCATAACTTGTTCATTTAACATCTTTCATCCATTTTTGCAAAGTTCAGATTCCATTCTAACCTTACAGATGAAAAAGTTCAGTTTTGTGGTTGGCTGGTTTGTTTTTTGTAGTTGGGCGGTGGTTTCTGGTTTTGGTGGCTTTTTGGTTGTGGGTTTTTTTTCCCTCCACCACTGGCAAGTTAAAGCCAAAAAACCAATACATGAATTTGTAAGCTGCAGTCATATTTCAGGTTATCTCCTCCGAAGTAAGAAAACACTCATTCCATTTTATCAAATAATCACGTTAAAGGAACACCAGTATTTCCATTATGGAGAAAAACCCATAAATAAATGAACATTACAAGTTATTGTACACAGAAGATTTAGAAAACCCTGTTTCCACTGTGCAACAAACACTGCTTGAATAATCGACCTGCATCATCTCTGCCTGTTTTCATCTGATTATGAACATGGCCATATGTTTAACATGTGTAAGCATCAATTCTTCATTTCTAAAGTTTCAGTCAGGAATCCAAGGATGACACTCAAGGTCCTAATTGTTCTTCCTTGTTCTCTCAGATTCTTGAATGTAATCCCCTACCAGTGAATTCATACTTACTGTTCGAAGGTCTCCAATGCGCTTTTCAAGTAGCATAGGCAGACCTTCTGGGAGGGCAGGCACCTGCTTGGGTGTCATGACCTGAGAGGTGTAGGTTGCCTGAGTGACATTTCCATTTTCTCCTGACAGCTCAGAGACCGGGCTGCCATCAGAAGTGCCATCAAGCAACTTATCAAAGTCAATGTCTCCCAGCATCTCCAGGGCACTTTCAGTTTCTTGCAGGAGCTCAGGTTCATTTGTGCTACCAAAAATGGAGAGGACAGGATCATTGATCCTAAGATTCAAGTCAGAGATATCATTTCCTGCACTGAGAGAGGAGGAAGGAATTTTACTAGGGGTAGAGGTTGCAACAGTCACTGGAGGTTTTGGACTAGGTTCCTTCTTCCTCATGGCTTCCTTCTCCTTTTGAAATTTACGGATCATGGCAGCCAGAGAGAGCGAGTCTTTATACAGTTTCTTTTTCTTCTTCTCAGACTTGTGTGAATTTAAGGCCATTACTCTGTAGAGGAAAGAAATCTTTAAATAGCATGTGACTTTTGAGGCCTCAGTAACCTTTAACAACAAAACTGAAAGTTTAGTACAATTAAAAAATTATCAGGGGGAAGAAGCAAGTACTCCCTGCTTCCATCTTCAGACCATTTTACCAGTTACTATAAACCTTAGGTACTCACACAATGACAGGTTCTCCCACTGATTTGTTACATTTTATACACATTAAGGCAAACATTATTGTATTTTGACTTCTCGATTTAATAATGGACTAGTTGGCAGAAGTGTTAAAACTCAGGGCAGATTTATAATACTAAAAACCTTGCCTCTCAAGACTGCTGAATGGTGGCAGGTTGACTGTACAGCATATACGTTAAAAAAATTCTTTTCATTGCTAAGAATTTTTAAATGGAGGTTCAAAATCTATTCTACTTAAACTGAGAATTTTCCAATTTTTCACCATGATGAAAAATGAGGTCAATAAATTTTCAATATTCAGTGTGAATATTTACAGTAAGACAGCTTCCATCTACTCAACAGAAGTTTTCTAGAAGCCAATTAAAAAAACCCACCACCTTAATACTTCTATGCTAGCGTCAGAATTCAGGAAAGCACAAAGTCAGTAAGAAGTACATAGAAGACTAATTAAACTGTATTTGCAGCTTTACAGAGGAGGAACAGAGACAAGAGAAAAATTATTTTTCATTAGAAGATGTAATTCCTAGAGCTAGCTTAGATGTTCGGGCAGGACAATGACGCTTTATGCAATTCATAAGACTCAAAAATTTACTTCTATGATTTCTTTCCTTATTATTCCTTGGTCAAAATTTCAGGGGCCAAAAAAAATTAGCCCACAGGACTGAGTCATACAAAAACCCCAAAATTCTGAAACAAAATCTGTAAGCTATTAATTACAGTTTAAAAGTACAATATTCAAAAGTGCTGTAATCTTGCACAAGATCGTGAAGCCAAACCTCAAATATAATTCAAGGGTTCCAATAAAGAAAAAGAAACCTACCCCAACTGCTTAGGAACTTTCATTTTCCGAGGCTTCTTCTCCTTTTCTGTCCCTTCATCTTTTCGCTTGCGTTTCTTCATTCCACGATCTTCACTTTCTTTTAACTTTGCTATCTAGAAAAGAGACCAAATAAAGGACAATGATTCTTCCACCCTAAAGGACTTCTACAGAAAGAAGCATTCAATTTTCTTTACCTTTCCAATTCAGAGCCAGGAAAAACACTTCCATGTGTGTCAAGACAAATGGTAGGATGGATTCCTGGTAGCAATTGCAGTTACTGACAAGTGTTAATCATTAATCATTTTTAAACAGTTATGAAATTTAGAGTTTTTAGTAAGATAAGTACTCTAAGGTACATGCAGACTGCTGCCCAGCCAGTATGGCCAACTGCTACCTTGGAAAATGCCATTTCCCCACCTTCCTCAGCTACCACAGTTTCATTGCTGACTATGAAGCTGCACAGTATGGATCATCTTTGCTGGTCAATACAGACCACATGCCTCCCCCTCCCTTGTCAATCCTTAGATTACCTGAGGGTGCAGGGCAGGGAAAAAGAAAGCCTTCAGACTGTGAAAGCATTAGCCAGCAACAGGCAAAATTCTGGTGCAGTTATCAACCCCACTTTAGTCACAAATTAAAAGCACAGCATCATACAAGCTGCTAGAATAAGTTAACTGTATCCCAGTCAGAACCAATACAAGAACCTTAAAATTTAAGAGTTATAGAGCAGGAAAGGACACCAGGAAGCACTAAGTTCTCAGAACCAGCATACAACTTGTAAATGTCATATTGCAATTATGTTTGCATTGACTAACTTGTCAAAGTTTATAGAATATCATGCTGTTTGGAAAGATTCTATATATAATTTTAATATAGCTATTCTTATCAACTGAGTTAACTTTGTCAGGTGTTTTGGTTTAAGTACTATTCTCAATATTAGGAACAATTTCAAATCATGCAAACTTCGTGCAAAATCATTAAGAGCAGTGTTGATGAATTTAAGTTCTCATCTATAATAAAATTCTTACAAAATTACAGAATAATCTGTCAGTTCAAGATGGGTGAACACAACTTGTTAAGCTGTCAAAAGACATGCTTAGTCTTACAAGACCCGACAGCCTGTGGACATCCTGAGTTAGTTACTGAATGCTAGTACATGAGCCACAAAACATAAAATGCAGTAAAACAGTACCATGCATCATTCTGCTTTTGTACTCTTAATTTGAGCCATTCTAAGCATATCCAATATTTCCAATGTCCACCTAGCTTCTACTTCTGTATAATCACTCACTTTAGGCGGCCTATGTTTTTTGTCTTCTGCAAAATCTTCGTCTTCTGATTCAGATGCCTGGCGAAACTGCAGTGTACCAGTGTTGATATAAAACCCTCCATATTTGGTTGTCAGGGATGCAGGAACCAATTCATCATACTGGGCAGGAAAAGGAAGATGAACTTATCAGTATTTCTTAATAAACTAAACATGTAGTTCATTTACCAGCCCTTATACATAAAAATATATATTCCAATTCACAGCACAGCTTGCTATAATAGAAACAGGATAGCAATGCTATAGAAAATCTACTGGCTGAAGCAGAGAATGTTAATATTACAGAGTATCCTTTCAACTCCCAAAACAATGACTTTTCTGTACAAAAAGGCATGATTACAGCAATAAAAAGTACTACTTTCTGAAGGTAACTCACCACAGTGCCCTGCTCAAAATCTTACTTTTTAAAAGTCCTCTGAAATTTTCTTCTGTTAAAAACGCTATCTCAGACATGACAAACTTAACCACAGTATGTTACCTGACTTCCAATTTTAGGTGCTTAATACAACATTGCATGTTAAATATTACAATGCCAGGACTTTTTTCATTTGAAGGCTAACATTCTCCCTCTGTTCAAACAATTTTAAAATCACAAAATGTTTCAAGCTCTCTCAATAATTTATTTTGAAAAGTACTTAGTATTTATGAAGAAATTTCCAAGTTTATAATTATAAAGTTGAATCTCAAAAGTATTGAAATCCAAAGACATATAGAAAAGACGGTCAATAATCAGTAGAGTGGATGACAATATTAATTCTATTATAACATGCAAATAACAACCTCCATGCCATGTAAAATATACTGAAGATAAAATTGTTTAACAACTGGAAAGTCTAGGCTAACAAACACTTTTAAGCAGGAGGAAGAGTTATCCAGAAAAGTAAACCAGTAAATATGTACTTCAACAAGGAAGCTGGAAAAAGAGCCTGAACTGGAAGCCTACTGAGGGATTTAATCTGAATAAGTAGTTAGAAACTTCCCTGACTCATCACCTTTTATCTTTCGGAACAGAATGCTTAACATGCATTACAGAAAGACAAAATAGGAAAGGAAAAGTGGTGACAGCATTTATAAAGTGTCCTAAGATGATATGAAAAGCTAGCACAAGAAAGTGCGAGAATCTATTAATTGAACAAAATTAAAGTGAAATGACTTAATAGTGGACTTGTCATTCATCTTAAAAGACCAGGGGGACCATGCAAAGTAAACTTGAGAGTGGAGGTTGTATAAGAATTTCAGAGAAAACTTATGCTTTTTTCCACAGCTCTCAGAACCAGCTTCATTAGGTGCAAGGAAAATGAAAGTAGAGAAAAGAAATTATCCATGGTGCTTAATGACAGAGCAGACATTTCCCATTTGAGCTGACAGGGTGTTAACTGAATTAGCGAGGCTGGGGCAGTAAAGGATCAAAACTGGAGAATACAGAGTAGTTGCCAAGTCAGAAGGAAAAAGCACACAGTCAAAGCTGAGATCATTAGCATAAAAAGCAAAAGCCAAGAGAGTAAAGAGATGTGGAGCAGTACAGGAAGGCCTAGGTAACACACAAGTGAGGATTAAAGGCAGTCTACAAATGAGGAATCATGAATCCCATGAATCACAGCAAATTATCGTGTTGTGTGGCACAGATACACTGGAACAAGACAACAAGAAAGGCAGAATTAATTCAACATACGGAGTGACTGTATTCCATAATAGTCAACAGGCAAGTAAGATCAGCAAGATGTGGATGTGTAACTAAGCAGTTGAGGTTTCAACAGTTTCTGTTGAGGACTATGAACTTAGTCAGACTTTCAAAGACTTTTCTGACATTCAGTTCCTCTGAACCCTTGAATAAGACTACTTTAGCAAAATCTGGTTCTACGCTGAGCCTACTGAACAAGGTGTAGCTTTTAAACTCAATGTTGTATTTTAGACATAGGGCCCTGCAGACCACAGTGTAGCTAGTACAACCCCCTTTGAGCTAAGCTCACTATTTTCTAGTCCCAGAACAGAAAATGAGTATGTTTGTATAGGGTATTAGCAACAGATATTAAGCTTCATTTTGAAGTGCTTCCAGAACTCTCAGTTAAAGGGAACATGGCTCTGGCAAATTCTAAATCTTCTTATGAATTGTTATCAAGAGCTTTGCTTTAAACTAGCTTTTTTTTGTGCATGAAATCACACAATTTATCTTATGAACAAAAATAAGTTTAAAGCCCTTTACAATGTTCTGCTCTTCCTTACACATTTCAAGGACAAGAATCAAAAAATCTGACCTACAAAGAGACAGGACTTTACTGACTCCTGTGAACACAGGTTTGTACTACAACTGATTATGGAATCATTCTGCAGATAACAAAAGACTGTCTGACCATCTAAAAGCAGGTTCATATGAAAGTTATTTTAAACTATTGTCCTTGAGCTACATTACATTACTTGGCTTTTAGTGCCGTAAATCTAATTAAATGTTTTGGTATGAAAGGTAATTCAGTTTGTTGTTTTTTTTTTAAATAAGTTAACTGGTCTCAACTTCATCACCATACCAAGAACAATGAATTTTTATGGGTTATACCAATTTAGTTCTGAAATCCAGATCCATAACAGTATCTTATATTAATATTGTCTACTCTTGTGTCCAGGTATTTTGACTACAATCCTCAGACATTTTACTGTGATCCTTTTCCTCATTAACCTCCCTTTCATACAACAACCTACAAAAGTACATATGTGAAAAAGTTTTTAAACATTTCTGTAGTTTAAGTCATTAAGTCTTGGAAATGAGATTTGACGCAAACATGTCCAAATGTTTTAAAAAATGTAGATTATTTGTTGTGAAACAACTAATACTTAGCTAAAAGACAAGCAGGGATAATTTTTATGCCTTGTTTAGTTTATTTTTGAGGTAGCTCTAACCAGCTTGGGGTGGAGGGAACGTAAGTTTTGATCATCAGTAGCCCACTGAATAAAGGCTGAGCTACTGAAATTATGTCAAATACAGTTCCTTCAGTGAAACAGACAAAATATCCACACAGTTCCCTACACAGTTCAGGATTCTTCAAACATATAGAATTGACTGATCTCTATGCTTCTTCAAGATGCAAAGAACTGAAATGCACTCTTTGGCTTTGTCATCCTTTAAGGCTCAGTTTCCAAACAAAAACATGTAACTACCACCTTTCCAAAAGTACAGTATAACAGAACCTACAAGGAAATCTTGAACAAGGTTTAGGGGAAACAATGCATTGCTTCACTAACCCAAGGAGACATCAAAAAGCAAGCACAAAGAGCTTTCCTGTGAAACAAAGGCTTCTCTTCCAAAATGTGCAGGGAAATTGGTGGGTTTGTTTGTTTTTCTTTTAACCCTAGGGAAAAGGACAGCCGGAATAGCTCAACAGAAAAAAGCATAAGAGATTATAAAATATATAATACTTGGCCCAGGGTAGTCTCATAGGAGAATCCTAGTTTAGTAGCCAGGGTATCATAATCTGTCAGACTACCAGAGCACCTTGAGAGAAGTACTAGTAGACATCTATTCTCCTGTTTTGTTCCCATCTCAACCTACACCTTTTGCACCTTTCTACCAGCCACCAGAGTTAGGTTACTAGCTTAAGTGACACTCACAGCAAACAGATTACATTCTTATCACCTTGAAAACATTTCAGCTGAAGTTATAAAATGTATGACCAGTCATGTGACCACTTTTACCTGTGGTAATTGAACAACTCAATTCTTTTAGAGCTTGAGCTCTGACCTGACCCACAATGGAAATCTAGTTCAGTATTAAATAATTATGTAATGTGTTACTTAATCTCTCCAGGTTTAATGTTACAGAACTACTAGAAGATTCTGCAGAAAAAAAGTTACACTTTCCTTTTCCCCTCATTTAACATGAAGAGCAGACTTTCCTTATATGACACTTAAAACAAATGCTCTTATCAAAGATGTGATATTTTGGCATGTTATAAACCTCCCTTTGTATTACATTAGTAATTATATTGTTTGTGTATTTTTTGGGAAACACTTAAGTTCACTGTACTGCTTAAACAAATTCAGCTACTCAAAGAACCGCTAATCCTAGACGATGATCTACCCCTCTAGTAGCTCAGATTACTTTGAAAAGTAATTTTGTGCTCATCAAAAAATTAAATCTAGCAAAACACAGGATGTTGCTGCAACCATTATTTCCTTCTCCTGCAAATTTAAAGAGTGGTACTACACAGGCCAGATACAAGTCTCAGGTGTTTTCAAGAACCTATGCAGGTGCTGAATTTTCAGTTTATTCAGTTTATTCTTATTCTTTCCTAAAGAAGGGTATGCTTTTTCACAGAAGGAGCTCAAAAACATTACTACTGATTTAACAAACATCAGATGTGTTCTACAAATTTAACTACCTTTATTCCTCTAGCCATTTTGGTTCTTGCATTTGCTTAGTTCTTGCATCTGTATCTACTTGTTTGATACCCCACTTTATAGTTTGATATATTTTGGAGTAGAGGAGGACAAAAAGCAAAGAATCTCTGAATTGCAACTCGGCCTTGTACTCACTCAAAATGCATAGGACATGTCAGGGGCCAGCCAGCAGGCATCCCCTGAAGACATGCAGGAAGCAAACACAACGCGTTATTAAAGGTGGCACAGTGCACTCAGCTAAATGAGCACTATTCCCCAAACACGCAACTTCCAAGCCTGGGCAAAGTGAAAATGAACAAGGAAGACAGCACTAATATAAACACAACAATCCAGAGCCAATGAAACAGTTGGCAAGTGAACCTCTTAAAAATAGAAACTTTAATGCACCCTCATGTATTCAGTGTGGATGAAGTTTGCTACTGAGGTCTACAAAAGCAGCCTTTTCCAGATGAAAAATGCCAGTGTTCAATTTCTCTCAATATACCATGGAAGTATGTTTAATAATGGATCCTGTGGAGTCTTTTTCTGTGAATGTGTCTAACCTTTGCAGGTTGATAGCCTGGTTGTTCTGTTAGGTTTTTTTAAGAGACAGTGATCTTTCTAAAACAACACTACTCTTTTCCATAGCATAAAACAAACTCCTTGGAGTAGGACGAATGAGAGAACAGTATCAAGTTGGTCTGAAACTACATCTGGCCTAGACCCTCACAAAAATGGCAAGAATTTCCATCGATACACTGAGCTGCCACTCCCTGAAGAGATACTATTCTTGCTGGGAAAAAGTTTCTCAGATACTCAAGAGTCTTGTCCAAAATAACCTTACTGACAACCCATCAGCTTCAGGTTTTAGGGGCAAGCCAGTGTAGGAAAGAAGAGGATATTACATCTATCATACCTTTTGATGTCTGGAGATTACAAGATGAAAACAAATTTATTCTCGAAACATGTGAAAACCATGTATCATGACACAGAATTTCTGCAGAAACCAAGCCCTTAAATTATGAAAAGTATTCTAGGGAACCCAGATAGAAAAAGAGTAACACTCTTAATAATATGTCTAGAATTACTAAAACCAACCTTTGAAAGGTTTGCTGTAAAGATGATCTGAGCTCTTTTGAGGCAACACATAGCTAAAGAAAAGTAAGTTCTTCCTTTTAGCTGAAGTATGCGTTTCAGAGAAACTTTCCACCTATGAGAAACCATTGATAACGTTGGTTTTCTCTAGTGAACAGCACAGGACTTTTTACATCAGTGTTTAGAAGGCTACCTTGGAACAATGAATATAACAGACTAGGTCAAACATTTACACAGGGGCCTAGGTGTCTGAAAAACTGAACTGCCTGCTTCCCCCTACTCTTGGCATTCACATCTAGCTTCAATTCCTGCCAGTATGGCTACCTGGTATCACTGCTTCAGAAGACACTGCTTACAGACTTACAGGCCAACAGTTCTTTTTCTACATTCATTGACTTGGAATGGGGGAAGTCTTTGGTTTGGATATCCAAGCCTTGTTACCTTTAAGTAAGAGAAAATGGCATATATTTTCATTAACACCATGTATTATTTTAAATTCCCTCTTCTGTATTGCATAGCAGAAAGCTCAGAGAGCACTGGTTCCCTTGCAGTCTTTACCTATATAAAGGTTACATTGCCAGGAAGGTATTCAACCAACCAAATAATCAGAGGTCATCACAAGATCAAGTAATCAGCCTGATCTGGCTGGACATGCATCTGCGTGCAGGAAAAACAGAGTGGGCGAAAAATTCTACAGGAATTCCACTCCACAAAGAATGTAGTTCTGGGCAGCTTACACTACAGCAAAACCTATTTTCAACATCAAAGCAGTGGAAACACTGAGGAGGAGCGGCTTTCTTTGCAGGTTATGGACATTTTGTATAAGTCCATTAAGATAAGCAAAGATAAGGACTTGCCATCAGGCTAACCCCTATAGAGCAATTAGAAACAATACTAAACTGGTTTTGCTTTACTTTTTTTACTGGAATTATCACAAATCCACTGACTGCAGTCAAAATGCTCAACCCAAGAATAGCTGCTCACATAGATTTCCTGCTTGCCTGCAAATGCATTTACCTCAAACTGTTTTTAAAAGCTATGGAATAAATCTGTTTCAGTGCCAGAGAGCTCAGTATTTCTTCCACAACTGTGACAAGAAAAAGGACTAAAATTCTGAGGAAGCTTTCAATTTCTATTTTTTTCTTCTGGGATAGAGACAAGCTAATCCTGGAGCAATTAAAGAGGCACTCATATTCACTTTTCAAGTATTTGTGTTCAGGATATTACAGTTTTTTCGGTGTAAGACAGTGTGTCTTCTAAGAAGTCCAGGGCATGGCTCTGACACATCTCAGGGTACACAGCAATTTCATAGCTGGCCACACAGAAGATGAACAAGCCAGACATGTAGATTTTCCTTCTGAACACTTCTCTTGTATTCAAGACAGAATGATGGAATTAGAGGTTTTGTTGAACTTCAACTCCTACATTATAGAACCCTTAAGCTCTGCAACAGCAACATGGACTGCAGCTGGCACACTATATTTTTTCTTCTTTTCTATATAAAAATGGGGATAAAAGCAAAACAAAGATGGCCTCTTGCTAGTCTGTATTTGTACTGAAGACAAGTCATAATAATTTGTTGAGGAGAGCAACCTCTAGAGACTACACCATTTCTCCCCAACAGCTTCCACAGCACATGATGCAACAAGTTGGTCCTCCAACAACTGCCTTTTGTACATTTTGCAAGGACTATGTCAAGAGACAGAAGTAAATGCTCCTTCAAATCTACTGGATCTGCTGCTGGTAGCACCACCAGTGGTGGCAGGAGGCACAGTATGCTATGTAGTAGTACACCAGACTCATGCTTTGACAGAGACCTATGCTATGAGTATTGCCAGTGTCCCAATCTCCTATCAGATCTGTGATGGGTCACAGTAAATCCAGGAAAACCTAGCTGGAACTTGGGTTGGGTATCATAGCATTTTAAAAGCAAAGATGATGAACTTAAGCAACAGTGAGAAATAGGATAAACCGATAGGCTCAAGTGGTTTCTCAGCAGAAATGAAGCATGTCCATTCCTACCAAGCTGGAGACCAGAATCTGACCTTTGGAAAAGACATGCGAAGGCTTAGAACCCAATACTGTTCCAGCAGCACAACCAGAAATTGTGGGATAATGGACAGTTTAATATTGGCAGGTTCAAGTTTCTAGACAAAGAAAAATGACAAACTAATATAAACTACAATAAACAACTTACAACAAACTCTCTCTTCACACCACTTCAGACCTACTTCAAAAAATACTGACGCACACAGAGAAAGTCAGCCTGCTATGCACTGTGGTTAACTGCTCAACTTCTTCTGCAGAAAAAAGTTATCAGCTCTGCAGACACTTTCTGTGCACCTCACACAAGCCATAGGATCACTCACTGGAACATCTACATGCTAGAAACTTCATAGCTCTGTTTACTCTCTTTACTCTCAAATTTTAGAGTTTAAATGAAAACTTCACATAATGTATGCTAAGCACTTATGTGCTTTTCTTACTCTTTTCTCTCAACTTCTTTTCATAGTATTTCCTCTCCCACTCATAATTTTAGCCCCTCCCTTCTCATAGCAGATCACTGCTGCTTTATCCAGTGTCATTCAGCACTGTAGGAAACTGAAGGCAAGAGACAGCTCTTATTTTTGGGGTTTTTTTTAACTTGACTAAACTGTACACATACTTCTTTCTGACATTTAATAAGGAAAAACTATAGAAAGTTTCTGAACTTTTAAATCATCCACTCTTTTTTCCAAGCTTTCTTCTCATTTTCATGATTTCATGTATCACCTCTAAGATATCTTCAAATGCCCTCTTATAAACTTTCTGATATCCTTGATACTGCCTGCACCAAACTAAAATCCTTTTCTTTTACCTTAAGATGTGTTTTCACTTCTGAAAAATATTCAAAGTAAGCAGTAATATCATGCTGTTTAACCTGTCTTGTCTCAAATTTTTCAGACATATTCCATGTTTAGAATAACCATCCTATTTTTACTGTTTTTTAAGAGAAGAATAGCTTCCTGATCTAATTAAGGAAATATAATGCCAATAACCCATTAATAATCCAGAAAGCTAGTACAAGAAACTAGACTGAGACAGTGTCCTTTCAGTCAACAGTAAATGAAGTGCACAAATAAAAATATTTTAATTTCAGAAGCTGGAAATGACTTGATTTAGGAATGGCTTTCTTAATTCTTTGGTACATTACATCTTGAATAAGACTACAAATACAATAATTCATTGGTCTCCCAAAGTAGTACGCCCTTTGCATTCACATCAGTTACAGACAAGTACAAAGTATTTTCCCTTACCTTTCTTCTGTGCTGAAAAGATAAAGCACTGTCGCATGATTTCTTGCTGCTGTGCTGAGGCTTACTTACCGCTTCAGAATTATCAATGAAAGGGTCCGTCTCGTCGTAGCCATAACCTATATCAATTAGATCCTGCAGGCGATCTTTCCGATGTTTGTGGGGCTTTCCACCCTGAAGACAAAGCAAGTGTTACATCACTTAGGAAACATGGAAGCAACCTACTAAAGCCTACAAAGCATAAGGCATTGGAGGAATAGTCGTTCAAGGAATTAGCAGTTTTGCGTCCTTGAAGATGGTCTATACAACTAATAAGAACTTCCACACACGGATGCATTCTGGCTAACGTGCCTCACCAGAATCATCCCTGAAAAGCAGTTACTAGCTACCTTTGTCTGCAAGACCAAGAGCTTCCTTCATCTCTATTTAGAGATTCTTCCCTGTCCTACGGTTTTAACGTATAGTGACTGGACTGCCAGTGCTGGAAGGGCTGGAATAATTTAGAAACAGTCACTTTTTTCAGTATTCTACAGAATCATTACAAGTGAAAATAACGATAGCCTAGTTTTCCCTACACAAACACTTTTTTCCTAAAGTGTTTCCCTACACAAAATGGATTAATTCTATATAGCACAAAAAAAGTTGAGTTTTAAAACATAAAATGATACTTGAGTATTAAAGCCAGAAAGCCTAGTTTTCTAGCTCATATATATTATCAAAATTATCAATAAGTCTTAAAAGATAAAATTCTCAAAAAAAGCACTGCCCTCATTAAAATGGTAACTTCCATGAATTCAAGACTTGCTCCTGAAACTTCTCTGCCTGTACCCTACAGCTGTGAGCATTCCTAGAGCAAGTCAGTCCTTCTACCTGTGACATCCAAATATCAGGGTCCACTTGTTACTATGAGAACGCAGACACTGTTCAAAGGTGGTTTCACCCTTGCTCTTCTATGTGAGATGTAAGCATCTCAACACCTCCATTTTAACAATATTTTGAGAAAATGCAAATTTATAACCAAGTAAAGCATGTGCTCTTGCAAGCAAACAGGAATCTCTCACATACACTTAAATTAACAAATACAATAGTGCCAGGAGAAAAACTTCAAAAGTCCGTTCTGCTTTTAATTCACATATCCAAGCTACATTCCAAGCTAAGTACCCCTATTGGTCCAATCATCTCCACCAATCACTCATCTGGAAAAACATCTGAATGACTGCACATTTCCAAAACATGCAGTACTTTCTTTAAAAAAAAAAGTTCGCATGAGATGGATGAGAGAAGAAAAACTAATTTAGAAAAAGGCAGCACTTAAGAATTCTGATGAAACTCGTGAAAAAGCTTATATAATTCATGCTTCTGACTTAGGTGCCAGCAGGCTAAGAATGCTTCATAAACCATACTTCACCTGTACTGATCTTACTAAAGTGTAATGCAATCCATCTCTGTACTACATATATCTTGCAAGTAACCATCAACATCCTTGTTTTCGAGTCCAAAATATTTTTGCAGCAGTGATTATCCTATGATTTTATTATTTCAGTATAATACAAGGGCAATAAAAAAAAAATAAAATTTTCAATACATTCTGACTGCCTGACAGTCAGAAAACCAGATATGTAACAAAGGTAGTTAAGAAAAAAATAGTCTTATAATAGCTGAATGAACATCAGTCTTAAAATAGTACCTGTATTCAGACATACAAAAAGATATGAACCACTCCATGTATAATTAAGAGATTTTCCTTCATGTTCAGGCCTGGCTCTAGCCATTTATGTTTAAGGAACTGTGTTGAGATTTCACGTGATCAAGATGTTAAGGATACAAGACTGCAGCAGAAGAATGAAGGGATTATCTGTGTCACTGTCCACCATGCAGCATTTCAGGGAAGTTTTACCACTGCAGCTTTCCTCCAACGTTTTTGTCCCATAACACTAGTCAAAATACTACAGCAAATTAAGGTGTCTAGTTCCTGAAGCTGAAAATACCACTCATGCAAGTACTCAAAAAAGCCAAAGATGACTTTAATATATTAACTGTCATGTAATCTTACATTTAAGCAACCTTTGCCCAACAGGAATAGAAGGTCAGTGGCAAATACAATGCCAATACCTGAAGAAGCTTGAAGAGCAGAATCTATAAACCAGTAAACATTGTCTTTATGGTGGATAAGTTAATAAAAGCTATAAACAAAAGAACCAGCAGGCACAAGAATATACAGAGCAGGAAGAAATGTTGGTAGAATAAAATATTTCAAATGCTTTAAAAATGGTCCAAACATCTTTAAAGGCAAGAAAATGTCATGAGATAAGGAAGGTCTGCTTAAAATGATGTCTGATCTACAGCTAGGAAAGAAAAGGTAAGAACAGGTATCTCATTTTAGCAAAGACTGATCAGAAAAATTATTATGGAATATGCATTCATTCACCTTTGGAAGCAACAGAGCAGGTCAAGAGTTGGAGAAGGACAGAGGTCTAAGATGACAATCTACTGAGGCAAGTTGAAAGAAAAAACAACTGAAGAGTAACTGAAAGACCTTACAGTTGCTCTGAATTTAGTATGATAAATAGGCAGTTGAATAGAGCATCAATAAAGCAAGGTAATCCACACAAAGTACAACCTAAGCAAAAAAACATACACCATGCTACAAATTTATATGCTGTTCAGGAACCATCAGAGTTGTTACACACAGCTCAGACATTTGCTTAATCAAGAATGGTCAAAAAAATGTGAGTTGAGACTTATTAAAAAACCCCCAAGAAACAGAGAACAAAACCAGAAGTTGTTATAACACTGACAAATCAGGGCATCATACCATTAATATACTTACATTTAAAATAAGAAATTAAAACAAAAAAGAGAACAGTAAGCCAACAAGGATGTTTAAAGGTAAAGAACAGCACTTACATGTAATAACAATGTTAAAGACACTACAGCTGGGGAACACAAGGGCTGGATTTAGATGATAACATCAAAATCACATGCAATGTGCAGAACTGGAAGTGTATTTCTCTATTTCTTACAGCACAGAAACTATGGAGCACTACATGAATTCATCAGGCTTAAACACAGCGTGTTTTTATATGACAATCATCACAATACTCCAGTGCTGTAGAACACAGAAATCTAGTAATGACCTGGTAGATTTCTGGCAGAAAGCTATAAAAAGATTAAGCATGTAACCTTTGGGTCTGAGAGAAATTAAGACAACACAGACTGCCAGACAGGCACAGTGAAGTAATATCAATGAACACTTGGCCTATTTATACTTTCAAGTATGAGATTCCACTAGTGTCAGAGACTATGGTACCATCCATTAGATGGACCTTCATTTCTTATGTAAGAAAAATTCTTACATATGTACACTATTCAGTATCGTGTTCACAACAGTGAGGTTCGGTATCGTGTTCACAACAGTGTTTGATTTTATCTAGAGAATAATAGCAATCAAAATGACAATTGGAATCCTTCAGATCAGATTTTTTTATGCTGATGTTTAGTATGTGCAGCAAATACAGGAGAGTTCTGAATAATCAAGTAAACAAATGGTACGTTATGCATTTTGTTTTACAAAAATGCACTTCTTCACAGGCTCTTAGTATCTGCAAAATATATCAAAGGGTGTACTCATTTGGTTATGAGTACAGGAACTTGTCTGAAAAGAAGTAAAAAGTCTTCAAGACAGTTTGTTCTTCATGCATCAAATTTTACAGAAGTACTGCCACACGTTATGATTAAAAACAATGTTTGAATCCACTTTGAACAGGTATCTTAGATAAATAATACCTAATTAAAGGATATAGAACTTCCTGCAAACCTGAAAAAAAACCCCTTTATTTTCTCATACAACCATTGATCACATTCACAGCAAAGCACTGCTAAGGAGTGTTACAATGTAACTCCAGCTAAGAAGAGTATCCTGCAGTATCCTGGTCACTCACTTGATGAGAATGGCTATCTGCTACATGGATCCCTGCTCCAATGGAAGCTAGGCAGTGAATATCTCGCCACAAGAGGCAGAAGATGGCTGGATGCTGCCAGAACATGAGCAACTGTACCAGGTCAGCGTTCAGAGATGCGATTCCTCTGAGCATGGATGGCAAGTAGAGACTGATGGTTCTCATACAGGAAGAGGAAGGACAGGGAGTTTCTAACACAAGGAATCTTAGTCCCTCACCACCCTTAATGCTTAGTGGCTCTAATCTAGTAAGTAGTTCTTCAGATAGAAGATACTCCCTTTCATGAGGCTGGAAGGGACAAAAGGCGAGTCAGAGAATGAAAGGGGAGGAATTAGAAGTGCAAGTAGTAATGAAGATGCAAGTGCACCACAAATTTTTATTACCTACTCTTTTCTAATAGTTAAAAGCATCTATTTGCCCCTTTCTGTGACTACTGAACACTGAATTCTGGTTTTCTTAAGTCTAGTAAGATGTTTTGTCCATAAATGTACATGTTCAGCTTTGATGGATGCATAAACATACATGTAAAATTAGACTGCTTCCACTACCACTCCGTCCTACATATATTGCTTTACATACTTACATTGATTTTCATCTACTGTAGTTAAGCAACTTTTTTCAGACATTAGAAAATCCTTAATAGTGGAAATGAGTTTTTTAGGAAAGTATGACTGAAACATTTTTCTCTCACATTCAAAAATTATTTATCATTCAAGTTAAAAGCAAATAGCATTTTGGAACAGCCTTCTCAATTCATCTTGGATTCTCTCAATCTCTCCAAAAAATGAGAATGATTCTTTTCAGTTTAAGAGTTGATTTTGTTATGTATCACAGCTAACATGCCTTGAAACAGTAATTACTTCTACAGAATTTATAGACTGGGCACTTAGAAAAATCTGTCTTTGCCAGAAAAAAAACAAACAAATAAGTCATACAAAAAAGATTTCAATATGTATATTAATAGCAAAAGATACAAATGACTGCTCTTGTTTCCCTTCTTTATTATTGAGGTGTTCTATTAGTAATCCAGAATATCAACATGCCTCAGCATGATGATGAGCTCTGATTGCCAGCTCAGACTTAATCACCCAACCCTACCCATATGAATTCTTAAAGACCTGTTTGGGTGTGGTTTTCGTCAACATTTTCTGATTTCTACCTTCATTTACTAGTGAAAGGCTCTTTATGTTCCTAGCTAGTGCTGTTCAAGTCACTCACACTACACTTTAAGGAGCCAGCAGAGTATGGTCAGGCAGCTGGCAGCTACAAGACATTCATCGAGTAATGATTTACTACTTAATAAGTAACTTCCTATGGAAACATTTCAAACTAGTCAGGAATTCATCAAGATTCATCAGTGAATATTGACCTGCATCTATTACCAAGTTGTATTTATATAGGAAGCTTTTCCAAGAATAGCTTCACAAGCTATAACATCTACAGACAAATCTATTTAGCAGACTTGTCTGATAAGCTTGTGGCAGCTTCAAGGTACTTAAATGAAATACAGTGAGACAGTCATCACTGAAATGTACAGAAGTCATTTGACACTACATTAGCAACCTTTTTCAGACAAAAAAAACCAACAGTATCTTATCACTATTAAATATTTGTATTTTTTAACAAAGTGCAGTAACTCACGTATTTTGCCTCAAACTTCTTGGCAAGCATTTCTACTTCATGTCGCTCACGTTGTTCATCATTAAATGGATCCTCTAAATGAACTGATTTCTTCTGAAAAATGCAAAAGTTACACATTCATTCCATAAGAAACAGAAAGTGCATCTCAAAAACTATTAAATGTCAAAAAACAATACTCTGATGACTAAGTAGTTAGAATTTATACTTAATCTCTAAAAATTACTTTGATCATTGAATTATCATCCACCTACTTTTCTTCTGATGATAAGAAACCCAGAAGAATTAAGATAAATACTCAGATTTGTATTTTCCCAAGCATTCCACTACAACATCAACTAAAAGCATAAGCATAAGAGAGAATTATGACCATTTGAGGTTAGAAAAAACTCTCTAACCACAACTCCTTTTCACCTCTGTTTCCACTGGTTCCTCTAATAGGTGTTATGATCCTTCTAGATAGAACAGACAGGATGTATGTGGTATGCTAACCAGGAGGCAAGCAGCCAGAAGACTAAAAATCTCAGTAAATTATAACCATAATTAATGTACGTCTTTTATCTAAAGAAAAAAAATTATAGTGCAAGAGTTAATTTCAGTAATAATAACTATGTTAGCTACAAAAGAGATTTAATATTCCAGCTATGCATACAAGGAGTGAGTAGTCCCTTACTTTTTTGGTGTTTTTTAGAAAATATGTTTTCACTGAGACAAAGTCAATGAACAGGATTTACGTAGTGTTTTTGGTTTTTTTTTTAATAAGCGATGGCAGGAAAACAGGGCTGCCCTCCTCCAAACCAGAGCTCACATAAATACAGGAATTGCCAGGTGGGGGAAGGTACTAGGATGCTAAAATACAGTGGAATTCCACTTTGCAGAACTTTATGGATGGCGGCTAATTTTACTGCACATGGACTACTCACCAGTGAATAAATGAAGATTTATGAAGAACAAAAAAACTAAATTCAGAAAAGCAAGATCCTTCCTCCATAGTATGAAAAGCCAGTATATTGACCAAATGGTGACCAAACCAGCTCATTAGCATCAAGACCAATGTAATGAGCAAGGTAAAGTAAGCAAAACTGCAAACACCACATAATTATAATACATTTTCCAGACTAAGTAGAGAAAAAGTTAATAGGGGCTATAGTTATTCCTAAAACATAAATTAAAGCCACTTACTTATTTCCTGCAGGCATAATTAAATATAAAATAACTGCTCAATCCATGAAACACCATTTTCTCTAGTTTTAACTGGGAAAAGGTATTCCTCATCTTCTGCTAGGCATATGTGGCTTTTATCTAACTCTGAAAGGAGACAAGGTTGAGCCTAAAGATCAAGTAAAACTTAGTACTTAAATGTTAACTTGCTTCTTTCCACCAAACACCCAAAGCTGCAGCTGACTATCAATTTGATTAGTTAAGCACTACTGAAAACTCAAATTCAAGCAAATTTTAGTTTTGACTGTTTCTAAGGGATGGATGGCTCCCGAACTAAGATGTTACTACTTCAGCACCTTTAGAGCCTGTTTGACAGAAGACAACTTGAGCTTCTGGCTCATCCACTTCAATTTGGGTTTGATGCACCAAGCCTCACTTACCCCAGAAGAAATGGGAGCACACTTTCACTTCCGCCAGCATTTAAGAGGCAAATAAGCTCTTCAACCACACGAAGTTATTACTCACATTCAAAACTTGACATAATTCCTGCCGAAAGATGAACTCTACAAACAACCCCATCAAAGGATGTTCTCTTTATGAAGGCAAAAAAGGACAAGCACAAGTTTTTAAAATATACATTTCCACTAGCTTCTAATTCAGCATAGGAACATAAATTTGGAATTAAAAAAAAAGAAGTTGCACTGCCATATCAGTTTTGGGATTCTTTATCATTTCAGTATAATACACCTATTATTATCGTGGCCTGTTAAAGCCATATTTAAAGATGTGCCTGTGCACCAGTCTTTGCCTTCCTTTGGAGAGCTTTTCTTGGTTGCTACAGTTCCAAGAATACTACAAGACAAAAAAACAAACTCCTGACTTTGTAATGTTAAATTTTAATGGCAAGTGTTATAAAAAAGTTGAGCAACTTCTTGTAAGGGAGGAGTCAATAATAGCTTCTAGAAAACCAAATCAACCTTCACCATCCAAAAAACTTGCATAGTAAAAATAAAGGCTCTGTACTGTTAAATTTAAGTTGAAACATTACAAAAACAAATTTTGAAAACTAAAACTCCACTTAAAACCACAACATTAACTGCCAGTTAGTTACTACCTACTTTGAAAAAGCAAATCCCAAGATTTTAAATCTTCCCTAATAGCTAGCTTCCCTAGTAGCTTTCCCAGGTTCTACCACATAACAAGAAATTAAACTGACAATCCAAGTATACATCCAGTTTGAAACATGAGTAAAAGTCCAGAATCACTTCTAAAAGATCCTAATTTATGACACTGTTTTACATAGTAAATCAGCTGATTGTTCCACAACCCAGTAACAGAAGGGCCATTATGATCCATTCATTTTAATTTGGACTCTTTGGAGCTGAAAAATATACAGTTTCTTACAAAGCATTACTATCACTGTCTCTACCTCAAAAGCAGCTTCTGACCCCAGTTGTACCAAAATACCCTAAATCAATGCTCTCCCACCTCCAGAAGACATGGTATTTGCTTCAGAACTACATCAGGAAGAGCCCTTTTACCCTGAATATGTGATTAAGATATTGGCAGCCTTCAGAATAAAAGGCAGTTATGGAACTGGGAACTGCCAAAGGGAAAAGTCAGCCTTCAAGTACTGAACCACTTCTAAACCCTAACACAATTTTCACCTTCACAGAACTGCTCAGAAAGATTGCACTTCAGAGAGCAGCATGATTATGCTACACTAATTCTGAGGAGTCATAACTGGCACTGTTTGCCCACAACAGCTGTAGGACAGGATGAACAGAAGGCACCTTTTAACTTGCATGACAAGATCTGAGGGATTAAAATCAGTCACTGATTTTTCTGTCTTACACATTTGAACACAATCCAGTGTGTACATCCCTCCTACAGCAGAAAAAGTGAGCAGCCCGCTAAGTATAGTTACAGCACTGCCATTGCCTAGAAACACTTCGGTTCATAAGAAAAGTTTCAACCATATTCAAGACTGTGCTGGATGTAAAAATCCTATGGCAGTCTCAGTACTGGTATTTAATACTTGTTTTTATCACCAGATCAACCAGAATCTTCTTTGTAGTAGTTACTTACTTGCCCTCTGCCTTTTCCAGTAAGAAACAAGGTTTCTCTGAAACTGTGTACTGGATTAAAGAGAAGCAAACACTATTTAAATCAAGTACAACTTGGTATCCTCAACTAAGAATGAGCAGTTCAAGTATAACCAGCTTAAGGACATGTGTCTCTCCTTCCTACTTGGAACAGTGGGCACTGTTGATTGGCTAATACTGTTCATTTCCTAAAGTTGTCTGCAGGAGCTTTGTGCTTAAAAAACAAAGTAGTTCAAAGTAGTACTTTTTGTTTGGGAGGAACAAGCAAGGGAAGAACACTTTGGTCGTTTTTCCTTGAATCAAGTTCTCAACACTTACAGGTGTGGTTACCGGTCCAACATTAACTCTCATTTATCCCTGTCCCCTCCAAGACTACAACTCCTCTCCAAGTCTGCTACTGATCACTTCTCTGCTTCTCGAGACTTACAGCAGAGCCGGGTCTTCTGTATTTATCTGCACACAGCCTAGGGACAACCCGGAATACAGACCGGCGTGGTCAGAATTTCGTCCAGCTGCCGGTAAAGAGCTCCCAAGAAGGAAGGATGCAACACCTCTCCCGGCAGGGAAGGGGAGCGGCAGGGAGGTGAGCCGGGGTAAGCGGGACACGAGACAGTGGCGATCATCCGCCTCAGCCGGCAGCAAAGGCCAGGAGCCCTTGGCCAGCTCAGGGCCAAGTGGGAAGCTCCCCTTCCCCCCACGGGCACAGGCGCAGCCTCAGCACCAGGAGGAGGCCGCAGCGACGGCGAGGCTGCCGGACTTCCCTCCAGGACACCGCCCCTCCCGCCGTACCGGGACCACCCCCGAGCAGCAAGGGGTAACCGATAACACTATCGGCAAGGCCGGGGCCAAAGGCAGCCGAGAGGTGGAGGAGGAAGCGCCGGGGGGGCCGTGCCGGCGGGAGGGGAGGGAAAAAGGGGAAAGGGAGGTCCCGTACCCGCGAGTCCCCGCACAGCAGCAGCTCCGGGTAGCTGAACTCCACGCAGCCCTCCTCGGTGGGGTCCTTC